CCTCCCATAATCCCTGGTTTCCTCAATGAGTGTTTGAACAATGCCTTCTATAAGAAGTTTTTCCTGATCTCCCTGCTCCCCAGTTCCTGGTGTCTCCTAATTAATATACTTTGTATACATTCTGCACATACCTATTATTTACGGATATAATCTTTCCCCAAAAATGTAAGTTCCTTGATGGCAGGGGCTTCTTCTTTATGTCTTTGCATCTCCATCAACTAACACAGTTTCTGGTACATATGAAGTACTCAATGCTTTTGAATTGACTGATTTATTTTGCTAATTGAGAAACAGGGAGAAGTGGCATAAACGCTTGTCAAGGAATTGTAAGATCTACAAAAAGAAGTACATTACTAACCCATGAGCTCAACAAACAATGGCCCGATCCATGGGCTCCATGGGGTCCATTCAAGTAATGTCAGAAGTTTTAGATGAGGAGTCCCAATGCAATGGGCAGACTAAGGCTTTATCCAAAAGCACAGAAAAATTCCACAAAGGACGAGAACGTCTGTACAGGTTCAGATCTGCACCATGTCAAAATCAATGTTAGCACAGATCGGTCAATGGATAAGTGCATTACATAGACTTTTTCAATATATTGAAGATATCCTTCACTAAAGACTTCTCCACACATGACTGATGCATGGAGATGACCCTAGAATCTAAAAGGCACCACCAGGGGAACAAGAGCCTTAATGTATCAAGTGGACCACAGAGAAATAGAAATTTTTATCCATCATTACTTGGCAACATCTAAATAACAGAGGGGTTAAGATCTCTTGCTGGAAAAAAAATCAGTCAACAAATAAGCATTTTTCATATTCTTGCTATGTGCCAGGATGAGAACTAAGTGGTAGAGATATAAAAAGGGGCAAAAATAGTTCCTGATCTTAAGAAACTAGATTCTAAAAGGAAAGACAAAACATATATAAATAGGCATACACAAGATACGAAAGAGAAAATAACCTTAGGAGGGCAAGGATCTAAAAAGGCCTCCTACAGAAGGTACTGTTTAAGCTGATTCTTTAAGAAAGGGAAAGATTTTAAAAGGCTTAGGTGAGAAGGGAGAGCAGATTGTAAGCATAGGGACAGCCAGTGTGAATGCACAGAAATACCCATATCAAGAAAAGAACACAAGAAGAGAGGGAGGGAGGAAGAAAGGAAGGAAGGAAGGGAGGAAGGAAGGGAGGGAGGGAGGGAGGGAGGGAGGGAGGAAGGAGGAAGAAGGAAGGAAGGAAGGAAGGAAGGAAGGAAGGAAGGAAGGAAGGAAGGAAGGAAGGAAGGGAAAGAGGGAGGGAGGGAAGAAAAAAAAGGAAGGAAAAATTCATTACATGCCTACTATGTGTGAGGCACTATGCTAAGCATTTATCAAATATCTCATTTAATCCTCCACAACCCTAGGAGATAGGTGCTATTATTACCCCCATTTTACAGTTTTGAGAAAACTGAGGAAGCAAGAAGTTAAATTACTTGCTCAGGGTCACAGAGCTATTAAGAGTCTGAGGCCAGTTTTGAACTCTGGTCTTCCTGATTCTGGACACACTGCTCCATCCACTGTGCAAATTGCCTCAAACAATATATTAAAGTATATTAAAAGTATACAGAACAGCAATGCAAAACTTCAAGGAAATGTCTCAATATGCTGTCGTGCTCATTCTAGCCTGGGCAATTTTCCTTAAGCTATATCTCTCACCTTAAATACACTCCCTCTTCATCTAGCTAATTGCTTATTTGAAAGGTTACCCATCCTTCAAGGCTTGGTTCCATCTTGCTTTTTCCCTAGAAACCTAGCCCTCATTGAGATCTGCCTGTGAATTTGGGCAGAGCTTACTGCCTATACCTCCTGCAAGGGCATTGAACCGTGTCATTTTGTATTTTTTTTTCCATATTTCACATCTGTATGTCTTAACTTCAGGACTGTACTGTAAGCATTGTGAGATAAATGGCAAAGTGTTATATATTCCACCAGAGTGTCTCAAACATAGTAGATGAACACACACACACACGTATATATTGTATATATGTGTGTATATATATATATATATATATATATATATATATACACACATACATATATATGTATGCATGTGAATGTGTATGTATATGTATGTGTGTATGGATATATGGATGAATGAATGAATGGATAGATGGATGGATGGATGGATGAATGAATGAATCTTAGCTTCCCTAAAATTCCAAAGCTGACACTGTGGAAATATAGGTAAGTGAGCACTGTCAGTATGTAAAGGACCAAGTTAACTGAAGACAGAGTTTTAAGAGGTCATTCACTCATTCTATAATTTAGATTATAATCAAATCTGCATGTTATCATTTGTTTTCTGTCCTGGATAAGTTTTATTGTACTCAGTTCCTATTATAAAATCTTAACATAAACAAAACTTTTCAAGTTTGAAAAAGAAATATATTTTGATTTTTTAAATGAATAGCTGTTTTTAAATGAGAGAAATAAAAAAAATGTATTTCTATAGTAAGTATATAAAGAATTGGGACACAGAAAATACCTGCAGAAAAAGAGATCTATGCTTAAAAAACTCTACCAAAGAATGAGCAGTGGGGACAGCGTAGCTGTTCATGAAAGGATGTGCAACCCTTTCCAAAAACATGCACAGGGAAAAGGATGTGGAGAAAACAGCATCTCAGAGTTGGAGAGGGCCTCTGAGTTTTAGTAAACTGACTTAAAATTACTTTGGCACTGTCTGAACTAATTTTAAAATAGTAACAAGTATTCTATTGAATCCAAAAGCTTTTGGGGAGGCTTGATAGAGGGAGGAAGAAAACATTTTTATTGCCAATTGTCATATTAATTAATAAAATCTCCAAAGCACAACATGTAGAGCCCAGAATTCTACTTTATGATTCAAGTAGTATTGGATGACCACCTGAACTTCTGTCTCATGGGCTATGATGTCAGCAAAAGCATAATTATAATTGCAATTTTACTATGTACAATGGTGGAAGGGGAATCACTGCAGATAGTAAATATTCCCCAAATACTGACTTGGTCGATTAACTGCATCAGCTCTTCATAAAACAGTGAATCCCTCTGGGAGGCAATTCTTTTGCATTGGATGTTTTTTGGACCACTGTTTTATGTTCCCATAAAAAGTACATGTTATCATATCATATAATAGTTACTAAATGTAAAAACAAAAAAATCAATAATTCATTTTACAAAACTCCTTTCATGAGAAGTTTTAATGAATTTATCAAATATTCTGATCCATCTTTATAGCCCTCTCCCCTTCCCAAACACACCACAGCTATATTTGTGATAGAGAAGTGAAACAGATCTTAAGCTTTTCCAGTGATAGAGAGTAAGAACAAAAATGTAGTAAAATAAATATTTCTAAATATCCTGCTCCTGATATTTTCATTCTTTACCAGAAATAGTAAGCATTTTGAGACGTGTCTGTGGTGCCAAAATATAGATAAACTTCTGAGTTCAGTGCTAGAAAAAGAGAAATTGACCAGACCACTGTGAATTATGGAGAGAAATGTGGATTTTATGAGGAAATAATGAATAAAAACTGTGCTTTTAAGGGAAATTATATCCACAGAGAAATAAAACTCTCCCATACAGGTAGCCTTCTCAACCAATACAAATCACTAGCAGGTGCAGAATGATTTTCCTCTTTTTTTTTTAACTTTAAGGTGAAAAAAAATGGAAAAATGAAAGGCATCTAAGACCCCTTTAGCCGATACAACCATTGTTAAAACAATCGAAGTAATGCCTCATTACAAGCATATAGAGTACAACTCTATTCCCCCCTCATCTGTTTAACCATTATTTTGTCTGTGAAGTTAACCCCCTGAAGACCAAAGGCATATTTTATATTAGTATGTTTTATCTAGATGTATAAATTTACATGGACACAAAAATTTCTGTAATTTCCAAAACCTTTTCTCCCTAATTTTGTTTTTGTTTTTGTTTGTCACACCATCCAACATTCGACAAAGAATAAGGTTGCGGTTGTACCCATATACACAGATTAAAGTTTGGAGAGTTTTCTGTCTTTGAAGTAGACGGTGTGACAGAACCCAGGAACACCCATGTTCAATTCCAAACCAAATATTAGGCGGGTGGTTTGAAATTTTCAAGCCAAAGAGGCCTAGGGGGAAAACGACACAAAACCCTTCCACTGTCACCACCCTTCGTCTCCTCCCCCCGTCATTCTCCCCAGACTCTCCATGTCCCTTTTTTCCCCTCTTTTCCTAGGGTTTCCTTACTGAGACAATCAGCGTCGCGGAGAGAGAAAGCCCAACTAACAATTCCTGAGACCACACTAGAAGGGGTCGATTCTACACCAAATATATTAATACTTGAGGAGGGGCTGGGGTGGGGGAGCGCGTAGGGGGTTTAGGAAGCAAGGTTTTAAAAAGACAATAAAAGGGGAATAGAGGGCTGCTGCCAACATGTCCAAGTGATCCTTGTCCTCCTCCAGTCCGGGGGGTGGGGAGGGAAGAGCCAATAAAAAAAAAAAAGAAAGAAAAGAAACAGCTCCATGTTCCCATCCCCTTTCGGGACTAACCCCAACTTGCAGCTCTAAATCTATGTGCCAATGACCCTGATTTCCAGTGGTCCAAGGAGCAGGTGGGCATCGTCCTGTGTCCTAGCGTGGATCAAAGTGCACGGGCTTTCTGATTCAGGACAGTAGTGGATAGGGATGCTCTCAGGGAGGAAAAAGGGATTGGGGTGGGGGGGAGCGGTTGGGATAAGAATAAGACGGAGAGGGATGCCAGAGACAAGGGGATGAGTGCCCGGGGTCCGGGGAGAGAGCGAGGACACTGGCATGCGAGGAAAGAAAGGAAGGGTGGGAGGGAGGAAAGAGAGAAGGAAGGGGAGGACCACGGGGCTAGGAAGGAGGGATGAAAGAAAGGGTGGCAAGGAGAAGGGAGGAGAGAGGGATGTTGGGAAGGAGGGAGGGATGGGGAGGATGGAGGGATGCAGGGCGGGCGGAGGATGCTGCGCCCAGACTCACCTCCGTGGGTGGGGGGGACAGTCTCCCTCTTCCACCTCCTCTGTGTTCCTAGGTGTTCCTCGGCCCGGTGGCGGCGGCGGCGGCAGCCGGTATCAGCGAGCGGGCACCTGCGGGCGGCGGCGGCGGCGGCGGTGGCGGTGGCGGCGGGCGCTGCCGGCGCTGCTGCTGCTGCTGCTACTGCTCCTGGGGCTGCTGGGGCTGCTGGGGCTGCTGCTGCTCTTGGGGCTGCGGGCTCCCCGCCTCCCCGCCGCACGCACACACACGCGCACACACACACGGGGCTGGACACGAAGCGGTCTCTCCCCCCTCCCCACCCCCCGCCCTCACTCCCTGCCCGACTCCTGCCCAGCTAAGCTGGGGCCGCCGCTGAACCTGGGAGCAGCAGCTGCCACTCCAAAGACTGCCGCTAGGGGGAGCGTGGGTCGGAGCGAGGGCGCAGGCGCTGGCTCTCTGGAGCATTCCTCCGCCTGCCCTGGGTCCATAGGCTTGTCCGCGCGGCGGCGCGCTCGCGCACTGGAGGCCGGGCGGAGCGGCAAGGGGAGGGGCTGCTGCAGGTGGAGGGGGGAGGGGACGCCGCTGCAGGGCGCAGGTGCTGTGGCCATGGCAACCGCGTTACTAAGAAGGCGGGGAAGAGGGGGAGGAGGGCACCAGGGCCAAGCAGAGATTTCACGTTGAGAGCGCAGGACCTCCAAAAGCTCAGAGAGGCCAGGGACCGGGACCGCGTCACTGCTGTCTTTGTAATCTCCGCTCCCAACACAGTTCCAGGCACACAAGGGGTAGGCACAGTACCTGTGATTTCATTTGTACAGGGAACTCCCAGGTGAAGTAATTCCCTCCACCAATGCGAGTCAGCACCTTATCTGCAATTTACAATCAGAGAGTTGCCCAGAGCACTGAGAGATTGTTGTTATCCCAGAGGCACAGAGCTGGTATGTGACTGAAACAACCTAATGTAGTCAACAGAGAGCTGGCACAGAATAGAACCCCATATACACCCTTGATAATTGATTTTGTGGGAAGGGTGTCTCTTACTATCTGTATGATAAGGGTGGAAGGATTGAGTTACTTATTAATCAACAGACATTTACTGCCCTAAAGAAGCTGGAACATAGTAGGTGCTTAATAAATGCTTATTGATTGACAATGAAGGGGAAAAGTATAAAACAAGCTGCATTGTGGACTGACCAAATGGGGAGCTTGAATACATTTTCCAGAAAGTGCCTTTACATTTTAGAGGAACCTAGCTCAAGGAAACAGGGTGGTATAGTGGAGGGAGCTGGTCTGGAAGTGGGACGAACCTGGGTTCACATCCTGCCTCTGACATGCTGGCTGTGGAGCCCTGGCCAATCAGTTAATCTTTCAGTGCCCTGGGCAATATTTTAAGTCTATAAGTTGCTTAGAAAGTGCTGAACTGCTTTGATATAGAGAGTTTCCTTACCTGTCACTCTATCAATTAAATCATAGGTCTAGCCTCTATCAATCCTCCTTTATAGGATTATAGATTTGGAGCTGGAAGGAATCTCAAGGGCCTTCTATTCCTACTCCCCTTGTTTTACAGGAAAATAAACTGAGGCTGGTGATGGCTGAGTCCAAGGTCAAAAGTGTAAGCATCAAAGACAGAGTTTCAAACCAAGTCTTTTGACTGCAGAGCTAGTGCTCTGTCCATGGTGACAAATTAACCGTACATTTCCTGGAAGGTGACAAGATCCCCGAGCCTCAAATTCATCATCTATAAAATGGGGAATAATACTGGGAGAGGCAGCTATGATGAAGCAGAAGTGAATAGTTCTGGCCCCTGGGGTCAGTGAAGACTTTGGTTGAAATATTGCTTCATAAGCAGAAACTGGGTCCCTTCACTTAATAGCTTAAGCTTAGACTGTAAGGCTCCTTCAGAACAAGAATGCTCTCTTTTTCAGTTTTGTTGAATCCCTAGACTCAGTACAATGCCTGGCACCTGGCAAACACGAAGTGCTTAAAAAACATTTGGTGACTCTTTGTGCCTTAGGCAACTCTTAAAGACTATAAGTTGCAAAGCACGTTCCCATCAGCACCAAGCCAGGAAGCTTCCTAACTCTATGTAAGGGAAATCGCAGATCTGTTGTGGCTGTTGTTGTAATAACATCTTCATCACAGGGCTTTTGTGAGATCAAGAAATAATGTATGTAAAGCAGAAAGCACCACATAAATGGCAGATTTCTTCTTAACCATTTTTATTGCTCGAGGACTGTATGGTTAACAGAGAATTAGTGGGCTTGACTCGGAGTGGAGTCAGGCAGACCCTGTGTTTGATTCCTGGATCTAGTCACTGTTTGACTGAGACAAAATGATTAACCTCACTGAGCCTTAGTGTAAAATGGGTTTAATTGTACCTATCTCATAGGATTGCTATGAGTGTGTGCATATAATATGTATATTATATATGTGTGTGTATGCATGTATGTGTATATGCTCATACAAATATGCATGTATATGTGCATTATTGTACATACATGTATGTATATGTGGGTACTTATGTCTATACACATGTATATGCAGTATATGTATACATGTTCATACATACTACATTATTGTATATGCACATATTGTATACACATATATATGTATATGTATTATACGTGTGTGTGCATATATACATGTGACACCTATCCCTCAGGATTGCTATGACCATATGCCTGTATACGTGTGCATGCATATAATATATGTGGCACATGAGCAGTGTATGAATATGCATAAATATGTGCATATGTATTGCAGTGCTATGTATATGCTGCGTATATATACACATATCTTATTGTAAGACAGGTATGTATATCCACGTATCCTCATAGGAATGATATGAAACAGGTACTGCATGCATATACCTTGTGTGTATATGTATATGTATGCACACACACATGTGTGCATGTTGCTTTGGGAAGATTAAGGCAATATGGTAGATATATCAATTACTCAATTGCTTCCCATACTTCCAAATGACCAGATACTATGTGGTATTATTACCACTGACCTTATTTTACAAAGGAAGAAACTGAAGCTCTGAATCTGCCTAAAGCCATGTCACTAATTAGCGATGGAGATGAGACTCAAATACAAATCTTCTGACTGAGGACTTTTCACCAAACAACTCAACCGCACAATGATTTTCTGTCCTTTTAACTTCTCTGACATTTGTCTGTATCACCAATTCTCTGCTCAATCACTGTTCTGCTCTTGCTACCTGTGTGTCCTTAGGCCAGTCATTTATCCTCTTAGCCTTGGTTTCCTGATTTCTGTAATGGAGATAATAATAATTACAATGCTAAGTCATGTACAGAAAGTCCAATTTAAACCACAAAACAAAAGAGTTGTTAGCCTTTCCCACAAAGCTTTAGCTGTGATCATTTTCTCTTTTAAAAATAATTTTATCGCTATTTTTAATATTGCCTAAATTTCTCCTGCTGTCCTTTCTCAAAACTATGCGTACATACATACATACATACATATATATGTATATATATATATAGAGAGAGACCCAGTAAAACCATCTAATATATTAAGAAAAAGTCTGAAAATCTTAAAAAAAAATTATATATCTAAAGATCATCCACATATGTAAATGATTTGGAGGAAGGGGGTGGTTCTCATATCTCTTCCTTAAGGCTATGCTTGTTCTTTATAATTTTACAACATTCACTTTTGATTTTTTTTGTGATAGTTCTTTACGTTTATATTATTGTAGTCATTGTGTCCATTGTTTTCTTGGCTCCTCCTACTTCACTATAAGTCAGTACATGTAAGTCCTTCCATATTTCTCTATATTTTCTATATTGTTAAACACAGTAATATTCTATCACATTCAACTACATTGCTATGCCACCATTTGTCCAGGTATTCCTTAGTTGCAAGATTTTCTTTCCCTTACTTTGATACTACATAAAGTGCATGTTTTTTTTGTATATGAGGACTTTCTTCTTATCAATGGCTATGGTAATTTTCAATGAGAATTTGATGAATAAACTAAAATTTTATTTTATTGAAATCCTTCCCATTCATCCAGTTATCATTCAGCCTTCCACTCCCCCACCCAGTGTATAATCATAGGGGTATCTTTTATATTTAGTTGTGGCCTTTCCACAAATGAACCCCTCATCTCACCCCAACATTTCACATATACCTTGGGACTTACCCTCATAATCAAATATGACCTCTTTCCCAAGTGCTCCTCCAAAGTAGGATGCCTCATTAGAAAGAGAGCTGGTTTTAGAGTTAAGAGATCTGAGGGTGGAGCCAAGATGGCAGAGTGAAAGCAGTGGCTTGCTTGAGCTCTCCCCGAAACCCCTCCAAATACTCATAAAAAATGGCTCTAAACAAATTCTGAAGCAGCAGAACCCACAAAAAGACAGAGTGAAACAAATTTCCAGCCCAAGACAACCTGGATGATTGATCACAAAGGAGTATCCCACCGGGCTGGGAGCGCAACGCAGCGAGGCTTGGGAGCGCAGGCGGCAGCAAACCTGGAGCAGGCCTCAGAGAACTGAATCGCCGGCATCTGTGGAGGTTTCCAGACTCCTCAATCCACGAATGTCAAAGACAACTTAGAAGGTCAGTGGGAAAAGTCTGTGTCTGTCGGTGGTCAGAGAGGAAGGCGGGGTCTCAGCTCCATTCCCCAAGAGCCTGCCCCTTGGGGGGGGGCAGCTGCTTCCCAAGCTTCCAGCCCACAGACTGAGGGGGAATCCAGTGGCTGATCAGAGAGGGACTGCAGGGATCTCTTTGCCAGTGCTGAGGCAGGAATCTCTTGCTTTGCCCGTGTGTGGATCTGGGTCACAGTTCTGGGCCGCAGTGCTGGGGTGAGGAGGAACGCTGGCTGGTGGAGCTTGGTGGCTGCAGAGGAACCCCTCCTCACAGTTACAGGACAGAAAGGAATACTGTGGTCACAGGCCAGGAAAGGAGTAAACACCTCACCCCTTATCATACCACCTTGGAAGAACTGAAAATTTACAGGTCCCTACAAGTATCTCTGAAAACAGCTACACAAACCCCTGAAGCTTGGGACAGTACATTCTCCACATTGGAAGCAGACTCTTACCTTAACAAAGAGTTTAAAACTCAAGTAATTGGCTGGGATCATGAGCAAGCAGCGCAAAAAG